GGTCATGGTAAGAACAAACAAATTGGGGCTAATCAAACTCCTTTTGAACGCATAACAATCAGAATATACCACTTTTTTCCAATATGGAACCATCTTGACCCTGTTGTGAGTCACGGCAAAAATCGCAACTGCGCATGCGCAACAGGTAACAAAAATCCTACGCTAATATATCTAGTATTTATAAGCCAATATGGTACTTTACTGAATCGAAAAACACTGGCGTACATCATTTTGGTTTAAAAGTGTATTTTCCTTTATTTTCAGTCATTTTGTTTTAGGAAGCACGTGCGAAGCAAAATTTTAAGTTGTTAAAATGAGTTTTCTCTTATTTTCTGATATGACGGTACGTGTAAAACGTATAAAGGGACAAAAAATATAAATTAAATTAAAATAACAGATGGTTATGCACGAACCTTGTTTAAGAGCAATGGTTTTAAACCTGCATTAATATCTAAGTAATTTTCTAACCTAATTCTGCAGGAGCCCTAGGTTACCTGTAAAAAATAATTTATTTATTCCCGTAACAGTTTTTCCCTACCACACATATTTAGCAATTTATTTGCAGAATAGTCGGAATTTACTAAAATAGTGTATAATGATCATAAATACGCTGATTCGTGGAAGTGCGCAGTAAAATGTGCACAATACAAAACTGAAGCACCATCTTAGTAACAAAAGCATTGTTGTAATTTCAGTTACTTGAGTCAGTGGTCGTATGTGAAGAAACGGCTGTCAACCAATACAACTGGGCAGCTCTGTTATCGGAGAAGGCCGCCAAATCGTCCTTGACATCAGCTGAACAGAACGATGCTGAATTTCGTTTTGAAAATTGCCTGCTGCATTGGAATCACCAGAAGCAAAATGACACCAACCGCTGTCCTATGAGGACGCAGATTCGAAATATTAATTTTAACCTGCGTACCAGCCGACAAAGCTTCCCTGACGAGAGGTAACTAATAGATTTTGCACATAATAACAATAAACTAGAAATACATGCATGCAGAAACCCCTTGCCTTCATGCTGGCAAATCCACTATATTTTCTGAACATGAAGTATTTGAAGTAGTTGTCATGGTAACGCAATAATTTTATTAAGAATGTTTTTAAGATTGAAAACCCCTTAAAAATATCACTTCCCAAACATATATATTTCAGGTATCCTATTATACGTAATATAAACTTCAAGTTAATGTAAAATTGAGCCACAAACGCTTCGCATAACGTTCAGTTTAAAATCTTCTTAAACCTAAACTGCCTTTTATCGATGGTTATGAACAAATAAACTGTTTTTCGGGTTTCTGAGTAATGTTTTTCAGTCTCTTGCAGCAAACGTTGGCCTCTTTGCTCCCTTCTTTTAGCAAATCTTTGGTCTTTTTTTTATTTTTTTGCTCTTCGTTTGGTTCCATGGCTTATCTTAGGTGTCGTATTAAATAATCAATTAATGAAAATCTCAAAATGCTTTTAAACTGATTTACAAAATCTTGCAAAATTGAAATATATTTGCAAGATTGTACTATATATATTTGTGAGCGTTTATCGCCCAATTTTAAATTAACAAGAGTAAGAATGATAACGATTTTATCTCTTAGTAAACCTGTGAGTGAGGAAGGCCTTGCAAGAGCAGAAAAAGCAATCCAATATGTGGAACAGTATCTCTTGAAAACTTGTTCCAAAAGGCACAAAGTGACGTTTGACATTGCCAGATCGGATTATTGCATACGAAAGGCTCAAATGAATGGATCATTGTACACGCCAGAACTGAAGAAACAATACGCTAAAGAGGGTAACTAACTTCATTTCTCAGTCAATATTGCCAAAATAATTGCGCTTTTGTGTTTGTTAATCCAGGCAACGTTAATCGTGTCATTTCTGAAATAGACAATACGCTCTTATTGGTAAGTCAAAGAATTAATCTAAAATAGAATTTCTTGCTTTCACAGCATATTTGATTCTTGAAAACGCTCTTGAAACTGCTAAACATCTTAAATTTGAAAGTGAAGAAAAGGGCATTCAAAACAGACTGCAAAATATCGATAGCCTTTTTCATGCGAGCAAGGAAGAAAATCACTGTCATTCGGAAAGAGCGAGAGAACCATCAAGAAATGAAGCAGTAGAGCATGATGCAAGCTCCATGGAAGATTTACTGAAATCATTGGTGAACGTGGCAATGGAATTAAACGAAGATCATGAAATAAAGCCAGAAATTGAGCCTTCTGCAGATCGAGTTATGCATGAAGAGGGTGGTGCATGAAACACTACTCAAGGTCATTTTATTTATCTACAATAGAGCTAATAACTTCAGATACTATTTAGACAGATATTAACTATATGGCCAATGATTTAACTTGAAATAGTAATTAAATTACGTTCAACATTGCAACAACGACGGAGCACAACTCCGGGGATAGGGCGAATAATTTAACAATAACACTATATAAGTGGCATTCCGAATTTAGTCTGTTGCAATTGTTTGTTAATAAGATAATCCTGTTAAAATATTTTCTTATGGGCAAAGAGGCAAAATACACCAACAAATTATTGTTAAATTATTCCCCTTTCCTCCGAGGCGTGCAGTTGCCAGTACGTGGGCATTTCAGGTGACTATGGTGCACAGCATCAAATACTGTATATAGCATGCATTTATTGCATGCACAGCATTATTTATTGCAACGGTATCGATTACCATGTCGTTATTTCTAAAAACGAAAATAATAACCCAACACAATACTTTAACAACATACTGGTCTTGAGTTTTCATTATAAAAATACGTTTTCCACGTGGAAAATCGTGTATGAATATATTGAACAAGTACGATCGTACTATAGTGGACCAGGAACTGCGTGACCCAGTTTCGATCTTGTGCAAATCGTTAAAAGTTCAAAACCTTCGAGATTTTGACTTGATAAACAAATAACTAGACACTTGTGAAACTAATGTTCTCGAAGTTTGCAACGTAGACTGAGTTCGCTAAATGTTTTGCTTTAATTTGGTCATGCAAGATACACTTTATCCGGGCAAAATGTGTCTAGTGCCGTGTGTATATAGCCTAAATGAGGTGTAAATCTGGACAAAGCATAGATAACTAAATGCCCAGTTTTCAAAAATATTTCCTCGCATTTGAATTCGATAGATAAGTTAAATGTCCCATAATATTTAGAATAAACATGCCGTGCCTAAGTCAGCTAACTTTTGCCGTACATCAAATTTTGCCTTGCCGTGCCTGCCATTAATTACAAAATAAGTTAAGGTAAAAAATTATCTGAATTGTTGCCAGGTTAATGCAATTTCATCTCGCTTATAGTCATGGCTTCATAACTGCATGCTTGTGCTAAAAACAAATTTTCATGTCTTTGTTTTTACGGTTCAAGATTTTCTATCGGACTATGAATATTATACTGTATGACAGCCAGATAGCAATATTACTCCACTACGCTTTGAGAAACTAAGCCAGCGTGTTAAATTTAGTCAACTTAACGCTTATAATTAATTGTTATTATTAGTCGTTCACATTCTTGAGAAGCTTTAGACTATTGTGATTGTGTTCACAACAATAGACAAGACAATGTCTTTCTTATCGTTTGCGTTTGCTGATATATGTGCTGAATATTAATGATATGTATTTATTATTTGCTACGAATACAGTAAAAAATTGCTTGTATCTTGCTTCTAAAGTCAAAAGTGAAAAATCGAACACCGTCAATCGATGCGGAATATTGCTTAGAATAATTGTGTCAAATTTCATTCCGATCAGACAAGTAATGACGGAGCCTTAGGGTTTTTTCAAAGAGCGTCGCCCCCTAACAACAACAACAACAACAACAACAACAACAACAACAATAACAAGAAGAAGAAGATTAGCAGCGATTGGGGACCAGTTCCTGGTCCAATAAAGGCTATAGGCTGTTATATTTGTATGGCTTGAAAGGAAAAGAACCATAAATATTATATTTGTCTCATGTAGAGAAGACATTTAAAATTGTCTGTATATTTTCTGTATGAAGGACATTTACTTTATTCTAAACAACGGTGATTTGTTCAGTGATATGCTATTTATGCTATTTTTATGAGTGTTGTAACGCCTATCCCTGCATGAAATGAAATTAATGGGACAAACATAATTTGTTTGCCGTTTCCTTTTAAATTAAAGGGAAATGGCAATATATTTTTTTATTTTCTCATTTGAAAGAACATTTGAAACTTTTTTACCGTTTTTTCATATATTGCTTACTTCTACAAATATTTTGATCGAAAGGAACGAAATGTCCGCCATCTTCAATTTTTGTAGATATGCATGTCACGTCACAACAGGGGTCACGCAATATTTTTATCTAGACAACCACTAATAATTTTGCACTCAAAACTATACTCTGTCTGCCCTTTGAAATATCAAGATCACTCAAAACCTTTAAAACATCTACCAATCAATATTTGGTCAGCAACGAGTACTTTTATATGGTTAATCCCTGTTGTGACGTCACCAAAACTGCCGTTAGTGAGATCAAAAATTTATCCAAGATGGCGGACATCTGATTACTTCAAGTGCAAATATTTCAAGAACTAAGCAAGATAAGAAAAAGCAGTAAAGAATTTAATATATAGTTTCAATTGTTCTTTCAAATGAGAAAATAAAAAAATATATTGCCATTTCCCTTTAAGTTTTTTTTACACACGTAAGACGTGAAAAATCGTTCGATATAATATTATCACGTCAAGAAAGCACCATTAAGTTATCTCTTTTGCTTTAAAATATACTGCGTTTTCCTTTCTTATTTCACAAAGGTTTATTATTATTATTAATATTATTGCAGTGTTATTATTTTCCTACTATTTAATGAGATAATAAAGAGTTAAACCGAGTTTTAACTCGGGTTAACTTTGTATTATCTCATTTAAAAACCTTGGGATTTGCTCTGTTGCTTAACTCCTCGTATAATAATGTACGAAATATTATTTAAACTAAACTAAACCTAAATTATATAGCCTACATAAAAAAATTACTCCACTGTGATTGGTTGATTTCAGTGCAGTTAACCTCAAACAGCAGTGCGAAATTCTGTAACAACGGTGCATAACTATGCAAAAAAGCGATCTGATTGGTGAAAAAACAATGGGATCTAAAATCCACCAATTAGCTTGAAAGTCACGTATTGCTTCAAAACAAAACCAGGGCGTAGTAAAACACGGGCGGTGAAACGCGCTAATATTTGCCTGATCCATGTGTGATGCATGGGAGACTGGCGCGAGCGTGCGAAATGCGCGGATCAAGCGGGATTTTTAAAGATGAAGCGAAGCAAAAACAAGAAACAAAAATATTTAAAGGGCAATCAAAAAGTACAATTTGTTAAGGTAAATCTATCCTTAAAATGGAAAAAAATTAACTTGTTATAAAATAGAGACTCTGGCAATTAATTAGTATTGCAAATTACATCGCTGGAGTTGGAAAAGCATTTTTAAAATATGAAATTATTTGAAGGCATAGCGATTTTATCATAAAATATATTTACATTTTTCAGGCAATGACAAATTGTAGTCGAGTTTTTTAGCCAGACCGAGTGGAAAAAAAGTTAACTTCAACCCTTTAAATTATCTATAATTAGTTATACTTTCGACCTGAAAAGCTTAGAAAATGGGCTTTTGTGGGCTTTTTTTTTAATTCAAAGATTTATGACCAGGTCACTTGCGTAATTTACAATGACACAACTTGTGATCTTGTTTTGATAAAGTTAGAAAACAATTGTCAATTTAGAAAACATTGGAAACATTTTCATTAACATATTCAGGCATTCAAATGCAATATAAAAGTTAGGGAAAATATTCAATGATAAGGAACAAGCAGAAAATTCCGTTTTTACTATGTTAAAGGTTGTTTTATTTCTCTTTTCGAACTTACAATATGCAACTGAAATGTCCGCCAAAAGACTCCAAAAGACTCCAAATGTTCACAGCGATGTCGCAGTTTTACAAGCGCGGAAATTTTTGACCTTTAAATATTTCATGCACAATATATGAAAACTAGCTTCATTTTGATGTTTTTGGATAATTCAAGTACCTAATTTTTTGCCACTCACCAAATGATAATGGGCTTTTTTAATTTTTAAACATTTTTTTGCCTTTATTTTTGACATGCACATGCCAAAATCTACACAATGCCATATGGAATACAAGCAAGCGATTAGCGATGTAGTTTGTTGTCGCAGTTTTACAAGCGCGGAAAATTTTTAACTTTTAAATATTTCATGCACAATATATGAAAACTAGTTTTATTTTGATGTTTTTGTATAATTTAAGTAGCTAGTTTTCTGAAAATCACCAAATGAGAATGGGCTTTTTTAATTTTTAAACATTTTTTTGGCCTTATGTTTGACATGTGCATGCCAAATCTACACGGCAGGTACAAAACGCAGGTTGCAGGTTGCAGGTTACAGGTTGGAATTTTGCAGGTTGCGAATTTTGCAGGTTGGAATTTTGCAGGTTGGGGATTTTGCAGGTTGGAATTTTGCAGGTTGCCAGGAACTTTGCAGGTTGATAATGCAAACTTAAAATTACACCACTTTTTTAGTATTCTAGTATAATTTAGTTGTGCATTTATTGCAGTCTGACTCCTTGTCGGCGCCTCTGCTCTAAGGCTAGTGGCCATCACCCCCGTGAAAACATTCAAAATGACCAGATTG